GGCGGAGCTGCTGTCGCCTGCTGCCCGGCTCCGGTTCTTGGTGAGACAGCAAGGAATAGCATCCAATCGGGGCTCCCCAAATCATGACTGCTTCAAATGTAGTCTATACCGTGTTTTAACTTCCCTCTGCTGTACAAGGAACAACAGAAAGCAACAAAGACACGATACTTAACAGCACTGCCCATCCCGTGCTGCGATGGCATCCAGGGGACGTATTTGAAAGTTTTACAGCACCGCACCAGTTTCTCACGCCACCACTGATGTGTGGGGCTGGTGATGGTCAGTTTTACTTGTCAAAAGCAAAATCTGCTCAGGGATGACTTGCCATTTAGATAAATTGCTGTGCACAGAAAGCCACTAAGGCCTGCATGTGGAGAAACGCAAACATGGCCATGGCCCACACTTGCACGCTCACACTGCCTCAGACACAAAAGGCTGCTCAGTCCCCCTTCCTCACGCTTCCCCTGCCCACACACCCCGCCGCCCCCTTGCTTGATACGTTTTTTTATTTTCCCATTTGCCAGCAATTCATGGAAAGGTTTTTTTTTCCCCTATTTTCTCCTTTGTCAGCTCTATTTAAATAGCCTTTCACAAGGTGTTTGTATGACCTTTCAATCAATCCACAGCCTCTTCAAATACAAACAATTCTGAAATACGTAAGAAAATGTGGTCTGAACTTTAGGGCTTTGCATGCTCAAAAAATCAAAACCCAAGCACAAGGATGGCATCAACAGCAAATGCTAAATTTGGTTTCTGTGCTACCTTTCACAACTTGACCCAAATCCAGTCTCCTCACAGCATTTGACAGATGCCACAAATATGCACCGTCAGTGGGACCTCTGAGTGCTGACCTGCCGTGTTTGGAAGCCATCCAAAACTGCCATCACCCATCTGCCTTTCATGCACATCTCATTTTGGATTCCTGCCAAAACTCCTCTGCGTTCTGTTAACGTGACCAAGTGCTCACTATATTGCTTGTTTGGAGCTCTCCCTCCAGCTGGAATATGCCAAGATAGACCCGCCATCCCTTCCCACAGATGTCCTTCATTGTGGGGCCCCTGGGAGGAGAGGCAACAGGGGACCAAAAGTTTGAGCTTTGTTATTTTTCCCCAGCTGATTTGTGATAGTGATTTTGAATCCATCAAGTTCTCACTAACAGCAGAACCACTTATGTTACACACACAGGGAACAGAAGCAGATCTCTCCTGGGACAGCCAGCCACCAACAATTTCATCCCATAGAGATTCCCAAACATCTGTCCCTCATACGTTGCCTATGAAACAGCACAACTTGTACATGTGTTACTAGGGCTCAAGCATGCTCTCTGCCCTCCAGCAGCTAGGCCAAGTCATAGTTTGCCCTTTAAAGAAAATGCTTACTAAGGATCCTAAGAAATCATATCACAGTCCCTTTTGTTAAAGGAAACTCTTAGTTAGATGGCAGATGCTCTCAAATACTGGAACAAAGCAAAATTAGGGCTATCTTGTGTTATTTTGTCTCATCCATCCCATAGCACTGATCAAGATCCATCTAATAACAGTAGAGCAGCAGCTGTGGACAGCTGAGTTCTTTCAGTTCCAACTGTGCTGAGGAAACATCTTACCTCCCAGGTCACTACCCCTTGGTTCTGCTACTGGAGCCTCTTAGGTGAGGGCACTAAAATGCCATGGTTAGCAGAGATGTACTGTGTTGGTAATCTGCAGCCTATTCCACAAATCCTTCATTTTCCTGTACTTTATGGGTGAGGCAATGCTGAGAGAGAATCAGGACAGAGCACCAAGTGAAACCATTAGAGAAGCCTGCATTTTGTTGTTCTACAGATCAGACAATTAGTAGTGTGTGAGATGTGAACAGCTGGAAAAGAAAAATATAACCTTATGGTTACAAGGAGCCACTAACAAGAGCTCCATCTCTGTCTAACAAAGCCTCAATTTTAGGGTGCTCCTCTCAGTACCTCCCCTGCAGCAGCTGCACCAATGCAGTATTTCTAGAACAGCAGCTGTCCCACCTGCTAAAAAGGGAAGAAGTACAGAGCTAGGATGGCCTGTACAGCATGCCATCCTTCCAATATGTCTGTCTGTCCAAAGTTGCAAGCATTTCTTACTGTCAGCTAGGTTACTCACAACTGCAACAGTATCTCCATCCTGAAGGGTAGGAGTGCAGGTTTTATGTAACTTTATAGCACCAGTACAGATCGAGACAAAGCCAATAGTTTCTCAGAACAGCCCCACACCAGCAAAGACCGGGCACTGACCCATTTGTATTTAAGTATTTCACTGGCCAAATGAGTCATATGGATTTATTTGTCCTGTATCCCTAACCCACTCAAGTGACTATAGCTGGCTTGTACTTTCTCCAGACTCCTTGCTTTCCAGCAAGCTTGAAGACAGCCCATCACTTTTCTGCCCCCCCATCTGCTCCTTTTTTTTTTCCCGTCCTTTAGAAAGTAAAACTCATTGTAACATTACTGATTTCTCTATTCATACACCAGTCGAAACAACACCAGTAACACGTTTAAAGGTTTAGGTTTGTCAGGTCAGCTGAGCACCAAGAGAATTCATGCCTTTCACCTGCTGAGAAAGAGACAAACCACAGCCTGGTTTCCATTAGAGGAAGGGTCAAGAAGGAGCTCTCCCACCACCTGCTGCAGGGAGCAGCTTAGGAACGTCTGTTCAGGCACCTCCTGCACCAGGGGAGAATGACATTCCAGTCTGCACCAAGCCCCCTTCCATCCTACCCTTATGCACACTACACACGCCGCTCAGCTGGTCCACCCCAAGGTCAGCGTCCCTGACTGAGGTGGCTGATGTGGAGTTACGCAGGCAAGGCCCCAAAGGGAAATTTAAAAGAGGAAGGAAACAGGGAAATTTCACAGGAAAGGCACATTATATTCTGCAAGAAGCAAGCAAGCTCCACTGCAGAATGAATCAAACCTTTTCTAGGTCCACACTGCACCTCAGTTTGCAGATGAAGTTACCTGGACACCTACTACACCAGTTTCAGGCAGGTGGTACTGACCCACACTGATCCTACGCACAGAGGAACCAAACAGTTTTCTATGTTGCCACAGCTCTCCTTCCCCCATGCCATCCTCCATGCTCGACAGACACCAGCTCTACAAACCTGAGCCCCCGTGGTCATCAACCCCTCAGGCTAACCCATAAAGAGCCCAAAGATAAAAGGTGGAGCATGTTGCAGAGGAGACTTGCAGTCTCAGAAGTGAAGCTACAGGTAGCAATCCCTGCTTCTGCTCTTATGACAAGGAACAGCTCAGGCTCTTTACAAACCAAAGCTGTGGACTCTGCATAAGCCTGTAAAACTTGAAAACAAACTCACAATGAAATAAACATGGTACCTCTAACCTGCAGACTATTCTTCCTCTTTCTGACCGCCTGTTTGCTGTTCAGACAAGCAATTGCTTTGAGATTAGCAACTTCAGCACATTAACAGCTGATATCTGTACCACATTTTAAGAACCAGCAGTAACAGAATTTAATGAGAAGCTGTTTCACTTAATACAATTCACACTGTGAGGCATGACTTTTTCCATCATGGAACTATAAAAATATATTCCTGGAGTCTGAATCAATAATTTAAACCGATAATGAAAACAGAATCAGGTGTTATCTAGGAAGACCTGTCCCAGTACTGCAAGTTTAGAGTTAAAGGATTGACTGGGGCAACTCAGAAGGGAGTGTGAGTTCTTAGAATTTCTCTTCTCTCCACCTTTCTCTGAAGAGGCATCTGCAGGGTCTTTCACACCTTCCCCTTCATCACGGTCAGAAGCTCTTTTTAAAGGGAACTTCTTGGTTTTCTTCAGAGAATAAAATTCCTGCATCAAATCTTCCACCTCCCACTGCTCTTCCTTACGCTTCCTACAGCAGTGCAACGCAGCAGGGTCTATGGGATGAGCTTCAGTGTTGAAGACGTATCCTCCAGCATTCAAGACACATTCCCCGTATGGCGTAATCATCACATCAAAGGCTGATCCATCATTGTGAATGAAGTTGTCTGGGTCAAACAGCAGGTACAGGTATTTTACTGTTTCAGCCAAAAAGAAGGATTCCATGCGATTATCCAGTTTGTGATCTCTCAAGTCTTTGATCTACAAGAAATACAGTGGTTACAGTCATATGGAATTCAGTAAGTTATGAACTTAAGGGGAAAAGTAAACCAGCTTGCAATTCTTTTCAGTTAAACAGCACGGTATGGCACCCTTTCACCCTGTATTTTAAACAGTTGTATGCAAATATATCAACAAGGTTATGGATGTTTTGAATTAGCATAGTTTAGTGATAAGTAACAGGAAACTAACAATCAGGATAAATACCCTTCCTGCCCAGATACAGAGGAGAAGAGTGAGTAAACTTCCTGTCATTTCCCCACTACAAAAAAAAAAAAAACCAAAACATATGCCTTTTACTACTTCCCAAATCACAAGGCCTAATTCCCAATATTTATAAAGCGTTTTTTTTGTAAAACAGAGTTCAATAGTATGTTTGAAATCTTCTATTAAATGATTTTTGAGAAATTACTCACTGCAGTTCTCTTGTGTTTGATCAGATTTTCAAGGCACAGTGGGAAGCAGCATCACACCACTGGCAGGCAGAAATGCGTATGATTTGCTGAGCTGGAACACCTAACTACCTACCAAGGTACAGGAGGCAGGAGAAGTTTCTGATGCTTTCCCATGTTTTGGGCTCTGGTGAAACAGCCAAGGACAGAATCTGACTCACCGTTCAGGCTGTGAGGGAAGCTACTGCCAGCAGTATGACCAGTGCTTACCAGATCAGCTTCACAGAGAAATACAAGCGGTTTGTTTGAAAAGGAGGTCATGTTTCAACCAAAGTCATCACTTGACTCCACGCCAAAACGTCATTCATGAGAACACTTTCCAAAGGCTGATTTTTTTGCAGCCATTTAGCTAACTAGGCAGCTGATTTAGCACTTACAGTTGCAAACCCACAGTCCACCTTGCTGATTTTCTCTATTGACTCTACTGCGTCTCTTCCCAGTTCTAGGAGTGTGGGATCTCTGGTAGCACGGTACAGATACATTGCACTCTCAATCAGCTCTGCAAAAAAAACCCAGACATTTGCAAGCATGAAGATTACCGAACCACATACACAGGGAAGACGAGTTATTCTTTGAACTAATTTAACAAGACTACTTTAAGATGATCAGCCTGCCTTGCCTTCTATTACCTCTGGCTCAGAGCACATATACTTGCTTTTACTAAGAATGTGCCACAAAAATTCACTAACCAGATTGCACCAGCTCAGGTAAGAGTGAGTAACGTCCCCCTCCCACGTTCAGAGCAGGTGGGGAGCAAGAAAGAAAAGGATTAAAAGTCAGTTGTCAAAGGAAGAAAAGAAAGATGCTTCTAGAAGAATTAAAAGCAAGAAATTCAACCCCTAAAATACAGTTTTTTATCAGAGTCTTATGGAATTGTTTAAGTGTTACCTAAAACACCATGAAAACAGGCACTATGGAAATACTCTATACAGGGAACATATGCCCTGTGCTGTGTTTACTTACTAAAGGTCTTTCTGGATGCTGTAATACATTTCAAAGTGAATGCTGATGAGTATTTTTGGTAGAAGTGCCCAGTGTGGAGGTCCCCTGAACACTCAGACCACAAAGAAATTAATTATTCTCATTTACAAAGTTTTACTGACCTAACAATCAGGTGTGAATTTGTTTGGGTGGTGGTTTTTTTTTTTTTGTCAAAGTTGTAAAAAACCCAGAAGAGATGACAGACCATTTCACTGCCGTATCATGGACAACACCAAACCCCCCTCTTATGTTGAGCTTTACTAGTGCAACTAGCATTAGTTTGTTTCAGGAACTCAACAGAACTGGACTGGTTTTTTCATACCCACTTTCACTTCCTAAATTTAAAGGACACAGGCAGTCACATCAACGCCGTGCATGACTAAAAGATCCCATGTCAGACAGTCCAACACACTTGTCAAATCCTGTATTTTGAACCAAATTAATTAATAGGTCCGCTTTATAGAGTTACACTATGGTTTGCTTTCTTTAAAAGGTAGACTGGCCTTTGGGAATGGCAGAGAGCAAAACGTATGGCTGTGACTATGGAAATCCCTGGTAAAACACATGCAGGAACCAAGTCAAAGCAAAACTGTGAAGACCTTTTGGAGAGCAGGTGCTGCTAACAATTCATCTTACCACCAGAACAAAAGCAGGACTCCACACCCTTATTTTGTTTCTGCTTACCAGGCCTGAGGGGATATCCTTCTCTCTTGTCCACTGTATAGCCCTGTGGAATGTTGTAGAACTCTGGCAGCCCACCAAACTGCTTCCAAACAGTGTAATAGTTGAGGAAGGTTCGCATGGCATTGTCTACGTCCCCAATTAGGCTCTGAGAGAGAGAGGAAACAATTAGCAAAGTAACAGCTGGGTGAAGAAGAAACAGCACAGGAATTGATGCAATAATGCTCCTACAGGCAAAGTGAGAGTGTGACAGAAATGGGTTGTTCAGCGGGTCTGAATGCTCCAAGTAACACTTGGGCATGATGCCTTAAGAATAGGTAGGACTAGGGAGACAGGTGCTGCTTTTCTTTTCTGTTGGATCACATTCCACACATCTAAACAATACAAAGTCTCTTTCATTTTTAGTTAACGGAAGGCTGGGTTTCTTTTAGTCAGTCACAGTATCCAGTCTATTTTAGAGGGGAATAACAAGGTCTCAGAGCAAACATAAGTACTGAGGAGAAAGCAAACCTCTCAATGGGAAAGTATTCACACAAACAAAGCATTTATGAAGTGGTGGAAAAAGAGGTATGATTTTCTTTTGCCTTACATTCCCACCTGGGTTATGAGACCACTGTCAGCAGTTTGCTACAATAAAACTGCCCTCCCATTATGCTTGATCAGAGACTATTTTACTAGACCATAGATCAACCCAACACCTGCTCTTCTACAGGCTCAGACTACCACAGATTTCACCAGAGATCAAAACAAACCTTTAAACCAGCACAGATGAGGATTATATCTGTAACTTTAATATTAAAGACCAACCCAAGAGAGATGAACAAAATCACCATATGCTAGTGGTATGACAGCTCTTACCTGTAGGCCTGGCCAGTAGGCCTCGAGGGACTGAAAAACAGGCATGGACACTGTTCCTTTATACATCTGAACCCAGAGGTACCAGTCATCAAACTTTGTGTAATTTTTGATAGCTTTGTTATATTCTATAAAGAAACACAGATGGGTCGGTAATCCAACCAAAAGAAAGAATTTCTTTTTTTTTTTTTTTTCAAGAATGAGAGAAGCCACTTTTTCACGTTAGCCATGGCAAATGAATGACTTCTCAGGATGCTCACTATGGTAACTCTTTGTTATGACAGATCGCTCAAAAGTAGTAAAACAAACGCCTCAGGAACAGTCTTGAATGTACCCCATTAGATTCTTCATCTTCCTCCACAGTCTCACATGCAGAGCTTTTACAGGTTTTTTTTTTATTCCTGGGACCCTTCACACAGAACAACCCGCTCACCTAGAAACATCGACATCAGCTCTTTGTCCTGCAGGAGAATGGCTCCTTTAACCAGGTATTCAAAGTAGGAGTCCACTCCTGCCCCAATGCCAGCATCCTGGGCCACCCACTTCGCAGTTATCACATCGATGTGGTTACCAACCTGGAAGAAGTGAGAGGAGGAGAAAATACAAAGTTAAAGTGGAAATAAAGCTAATCTACTAAATTATAATTTTAAAAATCTCCACAACAAATGGACATAAGGACGACTTTGCCCTTTTTTCAGGCTGTCCATTTCAGATTGACAATGTCCATATGAACTAGCATTTTCTCCATTACAAGACACATATACCAGTATCAGGGAAGCACACACTGTAGAAAATATAACTTTGGCATATAAATACTGCACTGGCCAAAAAAACCCACCATTATGCTACGGTAACAATGAACAATTTAAACATGAGGTATCTGGTCCTATTTCACATCCTACAGAAAAATGGAGGAGGATGAACATGTGAAGATCCAGAGATGGAGGCCAAGGATGTCAGAGGCCAAGGATGTCAAAGGCTTGCGAGCTGCCATGCTAATATTTCAATCGATCCTGCAAACCTGGGACTCTACAGCTTAGAGAGAGACCCAGGTGATGGAGAACATAATACATAATCGCGACCTGCTTACCAACAATGAAAAAAACAGCTATTCAGTTTCTTTCTTGAACAAGGATTAGGGGCATAAGCAAAAAACTAAACAGATCCCAAAGCAATCACAAGGCAACAGTTCTTTATACAGCATATGAAGAAATCTGTTCCACTTCACATATGCAACACTAGGAGCTCACATAGGTTCAAAAAGCAACTATAAAAATCAACTGGATTTTTGAGGAGATAGTGAACACAGAAAATGCTTCTAGCGCTGGATACTCCCAAAATGCCAAAGCTGTAGAGGCTGGGAGTATCTTGTTGCACTTGCTGTGCTCTTACTCTCTTTCGTAAGCTGCTGTCACACCAGGCAGCAGACAGACCTTTTATTTTATCTGTTACAGCTGCTGTTACAAAAACTGCAATACCCAGTAGAAGGCATCTGTCTCCCAAGCACATCTGTTATGGAACAGAACAATGGCATCATGTTGTGCTGCACCAGTAAAGCAGAGATGTGGACGCAGCAGGTGTTCAAGAACAATGTCAAACATGTGACTTCAGCCCAGTTGTTAGTACTGTGGTTATTTATCTAGTTCTACCTCCTCTCTGTTTATGCTTTTTATGCTTACAATGGCCTCTACAAAACCATACAAAAAGCAGGACAGCAAATTCAAAGTCCATTCATCACTCACCAGCCCAATATCCGAGCGATTTTTCCACAGTGCCTTCAAAGCCTTCCTGGCAACATCCTCAAACACTGGGTCACCAGTTAGGTGGCTTAAAGTGGCAAATTCCACTATAAATGTACCAATTCCAGCAGTACAGGTAACTGGGGTCTCCCCAGGGTTTACTCCGTGCAGCAAGTTCACTGTTCCATATGGCATCCCAGTTGGGGTCTGAAAAGCTGAAACACAGTATTTTCAGTTCACAAGTGTCCACTGTTTCATCTGACAGACTGTCAAACACACACGTGTCTCACATGTCTCTGCACATGGGCGAGAAGAGGGACTGGAGCAACAGCAGTAATGGCAAAGAACGAAATGAGAAGTGGAGCGTAATCCTGGGAGGGGCAGGGAGCTATACACAGCCCTGGAAAGGTACTGCCGAGCTCCTCCACCTTGCCCAGAGCAGCGGACTGCATCCCTGCTTTTTCTGCAGCAGAAGCAGGGTAGTCAAAATGGAACCACACACACAAGGGCAGACTGCAAACAGTTGTGGTTACTCAGTGGCAGCCCCGGGTGCACAAAGCAACAGCGCCCTGCTATCAGGGCACGCATCCCAGCAGCCCACAGCAGCTGCATCTCCTTGTCTTTACAAGCTGCTGTTTCATAGCCTTTATTTATTATTTATATTAAACATATCTCCCCTCAACAAGCCACAAACAAACGGACGTGTTAAGCACATACAACGCTCGGTATGCATAGATACAACGGATATCACGCTCCTCACAATGTTTTCCCTGCAAGTTAACTCACTTTGAGCTCAGGGAGCAGGGGACTGGTTCATGAGTTTACACATCAAGCAGTGAATTCTTCACCAAACACACCAGTCCACTCGTGAACTACGGCACAGAGACACAAACCAGACAAGTTCTCACCTGGCAGGAGTTTGCGAGCTGCTTCCTCTGCCATCCTCAGGAGAGGTCCAGAGCACGGCCAGCCCACTTCCACTTCAACACCAGCCTTCTTTGATAGCAAGTGAGCAGAGAGGAGACCACCCACCACTGGAAAGGGCACAGCAAGAATCCCATTAAAAATGTGGGGAGGAATGAAATCTGAATCCACTTGTATTTGTCATAATACAGAGGAAGTGTTTACAGGGAAGAGAAGTGATATGGCTCATCCGTAACAGCCTAATTCAATATGGCACAAGAGTGGTTTGTTTCTTCCTGGCTGGCTTGCAGTGGGTAGCAAATGCATTTCTTATATTATTTTAGAAGCAACAGATCCAACCTGCCTACTCTACCTGCACCACCCTGCAGAGAGTCGGAGAGCTAATAGCATAATGAACATGAACCTGTATGAGAGGAATTCCATTTCATTTCTTCCAGATAGCTTAACACTATGTTTGTGTAAAGTCATACAGTCTACTTTCTTAAATTCCTTGGAGAAAAATGTCTAGGCCAGAGTCAAGAATTTTGGCGTGACCAACAGAGGCAGGGATTTATTAGCCCTTTCCACAGACTGTCACAGAACGAGTACAAACACAGAGAAATTACACTGCCACAAAAGCTGGCTCACCAATATTTGACAGGAGAAAAAAAATAAGGCATAGCTCACAGTTCTGTTCCCTGCCAGTGGAATGTTAGTTGGATGGCACTGAAGCAGTCAGGCATTCAACTAGGCACAAGACTCCAAAGGCCTCTGCGATTTTCCAAAAAAACAGGCAAGTTTCACTTCATGATGCTAAAGCAAAAAATTAATAATCTCTAATCCAAAATAATATGCAAAACCAGACAGTACACAGTTTGTACTGGTTAGTGATGTTTATTCCAAAGCTCAAAACCTGGCAGCAGAATATTTAAAGTGCCACATTGCGTTGAGGCAGGAAGCAAAAGGTGATGTGCAAAGACAAAAAAGAAGTGATACTTGTTTGGGATTTTTCTGCCTGCTTTCGTGTCCTGTTACATGGCCTTACAAATTCACTCTGACCGCTACCTTGCGTTACCTCTGTACAGTTCAGACTCGTACTGGAAGGAAATCCAGCATAAACACCATGGAAAAACCCACCTCACCTCGAATGTTAGTTTCGAAGACAGATGCATTGACATCAATATCAAAATCCACCCCTTCCTGCAGCACGTTGACAACTCGCTGAAACTCAGAAACATTTCCCAAGATCTGCAGGGGGAGCAGGACAACAGAGAGCACGGCTGAGTTTGTGGGAAAACAAAGGTGCAGTTCAATGTTAGGGGCTACTTCTTGTTTGGTTTTACTGTTTTTGTGAAATCATTAATTACAGAGAGCACTAAAAAAACAAGTGACAGTTTCACCACATTTCAAAACGTTTTCCTCACACGCTTTAGACCTCCGCTCCAGAGTTAGGTGTCAGGGTTGAGGAGCTCTGGGCACCTGCCTCCCAGGCTGGCGTGAAGCACAAAAGCTCCCTG